ATTTAGTAACTAGCTCTTGTTAGTGAAAGGGCTTAAAAGAGTGGCCAGAAAAGACCTGCTGACCAGTGATGCAGACGGTAGAGAAGTGCATACAGTGGAATTTTTTATGTATAAATTAAAAATAACATTTTTGCAGGTAAGGGTAGAATTATTTATACATCCAGCTTGAAACTTGGCACAAGGCAGAACATAAAGTGTTGATAGATTTAAATATTTTGAATTTGAAGGAGGCTAAATCCACATGTGCAGTCCTTAGGCGTCTAGCTGACAATTTATTTTGGTTTTTCATGGGAGAGTGTCTTTAATTGTGACAGAATGTAAGTTGGCCTAGTCACTACATTAGATCGATCTTGCTGATGAGGAACAAATGAATAAATGTTTACACATCGATCACTTCTTTGGGTTGTTTGCTAAAAGATAAGAGTCGGGAGTTGAACCTATGACCGATGCCAATGCATTGCTCTACCAACTGAGCTAAAATGTTAAGGGGGAGCTGGTCATTTTGTTGGTTCGAAGTAAATCCATGGGGTGAGGAATTAATGACTGTGAATATTTGACAATCTAACTTACAATTTATTTGGTTTTTCATGACCCAATGTCTCCTGGTGACGTAATGTACTACGTTGGCCTTGTCCCTAAACTTGATCGATCTTATTGCGATCTTATTGATGAGAAACAAATGAGCAACTGTTTACTGATCCATCATTTCTTTGTGTTGTTTGCTGAACGATAAAAGGTTTTAAGTAAACAAAGGGAAAACGAGTAAGGTCTTTGTTCCCCCAATAGCGAAAGCGAGACTTACAAATCGCTTCTTAACCTTTGTTTTTCGTGCACACAGATGTTTTTTATGAAGGTGTTCTGAGCACTTTCTTGTGTGTATTCCTCAGCCTTGCCTCCTTGCAGGTATTTTTGCAGTTTCATTTGAGTGTCCTTGAGGCGATCCAATTGGAGTAGGATGCTACTTAAATCAGGTTTTATTACCACCCATATAAGCATGAGAATCGTTCTATTGCTATATGTGAAATTATGTCAGAGGATTGTTGTAAATTGTTTCAGCTTATGTTTTAATCATGCTGACTGAAAATCTTGTAAAAGCAGATTAGCCGAGATCGATTTCTTTTCTTTCTGATAAAAACTTCAAACTCGTGTTGATATGAGTTAATCGAGTAGGTGTGGAGTTGCAACTTACGTTGTTTTCTTGTTCATATGGGTGCAATTTATCTTGTCGGCATTTTGATCCTCAGAGAAGCGTTCTACTTCTCTAGAATGCAGGTCGGCGCGATCGATGTTTATTAAACGGCCTTTGTTTATATCTTTTGAGTTCGAATATGTCAAGGCATAGTTCCCCTCTATTAACTATGGTTAAGGTGTTCTTCTCAAATGCCTAAAGCCTTCATCTTGTTTCAGTTTTAAACCATACACATCCTTTAGACGTAGCAGGTCCTGTTAGTATCGTCACTTGTGGCTATACTAGTATTTCAAGGCTTAAACCAAGATAGATCCAATTTCGTGAACGGATAGTTGGAAAGTTGATGCATATAGCTTTGATCCTCTAAGGCATACAGTTCACTGATAATATAAGCGTATTAGCGTATAGAACCATGCGCACAGTCTGATCAAAAGCGTAGAATAAGTGTCGACAACCGAGCGATATTATGGGACACGCAAACTCGGAAAATATGTGTCTAATAAAACAGCGAACTAACTTTTAATCAAAAGGGTAGGTTTCTAAAAAAACTTTGTGCTACGTCGGTGGGGAAGTATACAAGGTAATTTTGGTTTTATCAACTGAGTTGATAATTTAAATTGGCCACCGTAAAGAGTTTCAGCTTTTAGTCGCCTGACATGTCTACTGAAACAAACATCTGACTTTCTTAAGATGTTTGAAAGAACCTTTCAGTTGAAATTCTGCGAAAATTTCCGACTGTCGGGCATTTAGCCACAATAAAAGTTTGCATGTAAATCGTTTTCTAGCTGGATTCTCAATTGCACTCACTCAATACGACACTGTTAGCAATGGAGTGTGGGTACGTCCAAAAGATATTGCAGCCAGGCTAGCGGAGTACGGCCTGACACTTCATACCTGAGGTCATCCATAGTCATGATAGTATGGGAGCGATATTATCATCCATTGGCATGACGTGTTTACAAAACTCTGGAAGAGGAAAAAAATCTACTGTGATTTTAAGCGAGTGTCCTCGTTGAACTTATCATGAGACTACGAAAACTTACCAGATTGCCTAATAATTTGACCACAGATTCTTACAATACTAGCCAAAGCAAAACCGTGAGGGGATCCCCGTTTTTTGCAATTGATCTTCCGCAATAGCCTCCGACGTAACTTGGATCGATACAAGTTTTTAGGAGCATTGTTTAAAAAAGAAATTGCAAAGCAACCAATTTCGATACTGAGAAATCCTCACTTGTCTTTGAAGATTGACACCTTACTGATGGAATTGTGTGGAAGTTTTATTATCGCACAGCAGTGGAATTTTATACGGATTAATTCGACTTCTTTGTGATATCTTTCGGTTATTGTCACGCTCCGGGACATGACAGATTTATCTCTAATTTTGGAAAAGCCTCTCACACTTTAGTGCGTGAATATCTGACGAACATTCTGGCCAGTTTTGGTCAAAATCCAACCATTCTTTATGGGTTTTTTTTTTCTGGGTTTTAGTACATGCCTTTCGTGACGGCTTAAATTGAGATTTGAATTATTCTCCTACCTAAGCGGCCAACTAAATATTGTGTGACCTTAGTTATTAACGACTAAATCGAACTTTACTACAATTCCTAACAATTAGTTTTCGTGATTTTGGTTTTGCTAATGACTTTATTTTTATCAATGGATGTGTGTTTTTCTTGAGTGCGTGTTTCCTATAAGTTATCTAAGCAGCATGGCAATGCAAAATACCTTTTTACCTTAAATCCAGGAATGTACTGTCTCAAGTTATCTCGTCCCTGACTTCTTTGGGAAAGGTTTCAACGCCTTGTTGATTGGAAGATGGCACCTGCCATATTCTAGATTTGAACACTTTTTGTTTGAACTTGTTAGAGTTGCCATGTTGCGTCTGTGAATGACACGTCACATATTTTCCAGTCAAACTTGAACGGCTGCTTCTGTTGCAGCCAATCAGAAATTTCAATGAAGTTATCAGTCATTAATGCTTTTGTTATTATTCCATACGTTCTTGTGATGTTTCACACGATGTTATTAGGGCCCAATTTTCCTTCTTTCAATCTCTTGAACCGATCCAGCTGGCTTCTCTCCCTCGAATCAAGGTTGTAAAGCACTTTATAAATACTTTCAAGACATCAGAGACTCTTTGATGGTCTAACTACGTTGGATTGGATTTTTCGGACTTGCTGGCATGAAAAACTCACAGCTGAAGATGACTCCGTCTAAAGATATAATTGAATCAATCGGCGCCTACGTTCACTATTTCGATTTCGACCACTTGTTTGAAATGTGACATTTTCGGTTCGAATGTCAGCGTCGGGCCTCATCCATATATAAGAAAGGTAGGAAAGGCTTGGACCTTTCATTAAGCCAGACTTTGAAATCTCGAATCATTCAGTATATAGTAACCAGGGTCATATAACAACAACAAATAGCCTTACGCATGGCGGAGTTGCTTCCATCTCCCAGGTAGAGCGGTATGTTTTTACTCCGTGATTCGCTTGTACTCAAATTTCTTTCTCTATCAGTTGCTCCTATTTGTAAGTCGTGTACCTACGATGATTGTGTCTAGGTGTTGCTTCGGTCCTTAAAAGAGTTTTATGTTCCAAACGTAAAATGCACTTTTACACAGTACGGTCATATCATTTTAAAACTGAATTCCATGTTTTAAAATATCTTGTATCAAATATGTTTTGTAAATAAATTTGAATTAAAACTTGTGTATTTTTCTCACTATCGAAAGACGTTTGTTTACTCTTAGCTAAATGTCAATTTTTATGTCGTTTTGCCTTGCTTCCGATCATTGTGTAGAACAAAAATATTAGTTCGGTTAATTGAGTTTATGGGAGAACGAAAATGAAAGTAGTGCAGTTGGAGTTTTTCCCTCCGGAAGTAGTTATTGTCTGCGCAAGTTGAGTTCTACATTTACCTCGGAAGTGTTACGTCCAAAGAGTTGACACCGAAGAGAGAGAGAAAAAGGAAAATGATAGTTAGGACCTCAAAAAATTATGGTGGAAGAAAAGAAAGAAGTGGTGACCCTAGTGGTATTCATTCTGAAGACTGATAGCTTGCAGTAATAATGCTTTATGTTTATCGTCTTTTTGCCAATCTCAGCCCCCCACATACGTATTTATCTGCTTTATGCGAAACCGTTGGGCGATTGTGAACCCTTGTGTTATTTTAACAATTATATTGCGTGAGGTTGTTTGTAATGTATCATTTATTTTGGATCATGGATAGTAGGAGAAAAATAGGAAAGATTAAATAGACAGTTTCACTGAATACTCCCTGAGCGATATTTGGGGTATCTTGTAAACATTGTCGGGCATCCTTTCCTTGAGCGAAACAATGATGAAGTTTGGTCTAAGGTTTAGTTCAGATATTTTTATTACAAATTGGACTGAAAACGAATTTTTTTTCAACCGTGATCAGTTCTCTGATGGTTCATTCTTTGCCTGACTCGTATTTATGTTTACAGTCACTGTGGTCTCAGATCCCTACGAGGTAAAGAAACCAAAATAGATGAAAGTATATAATGAGGTTTAGGTAATCACATTCATTCAGTGTTTTGAAAAACTCTTAAATAGTTGTGTGCGTGCGTGCGTGCGTGTGTGTGTGTGTGTGTTTGTGTGTGTTTGTATACTTGGCATTTTACCTGAACGTCTCCAGGATAAAGGTCAGTGTCCCTATAAAAGAATGCACATCTGTTAATCATTTATCTTCCTTTTTTGATCCCGATTTGCTCTTTAAAAGCCGAAGCAAACTTGTAGAAGATTATAGGAAAGTCGAACAGGAAATTGAAAGAAGAGACACATCATAAGTGACCAATTGATGAGGTTCATGATGGAATGTGCGATCGCCAGGTTCTTATTTCGTGTGCGCTTTCATTAAAACTCACCATTGCAAGACAAATCTTTCATAGGTACAAAAAAAACCACGCTACTTAAGAATGATACACGGCAGTTCATTTTATTCGAAGTAAGTCATACTAGGATGCTTCATGACATTCTCACATACGTAATACAATTGTACTGTTGTGGAACTAGTAGTAAATAAGAGAATGTTCAGTTTATATAACTGTGGCTATGTCGGTGTTTCACGGTGTTATTCGGTGTTATACAACGGTGTCTCACTTAAAAGGGGTATAAAATAACGGATACAAGGAAAACACTACATGGAATTCAGAAATACACAAGATTTTCTTGGGATCCAAAGTGTTACTTACCCTCTGGGCTCTCTTGTTTGTCTCGAGTAATTCTAGGAGGGAAAACATTTGAAATTTAGGTGAAGCTCCATCTTAAATTCAAGAAGGACGTAAAATGGTTCACTTTTTTTGTTTTAAGAATGGAAATGAAATCCCAATTGAGTTAGAAGCTATAAAATCAAGGCCATATCACAGGCCATATCACCTGCCATGTCTCTTGAATATTTCGCCTGATAACTACAAGCTCTTCACGTACTTGCCTTATGTCCAAGCTAGAAGATAAGAATAGTAACTGTTTACCTCACTGAATTATCTTTTTCGTGGACTGCGTGGTGCTCAAAATACCATCTCAGTAGTGCGACATCTTTAACTCATCGTAATTTGCGATAGAGAAATTATGTTGTATTCACTGTAGCTGTCGCGTGGAAAGTTAGTGAGAAAGAACAACGGTTGTGAGGTTCTTTTCTATTACCTGCTGACCGAGGGAAATGATTTCTTTTAAGATTTGAAATCTTTAGGTCCTGTTTCGTGTCAGTTAGATATAAACCTTACTTTATAGAATGCGAAAGATGCATTAAGATTTATCCAAGGAGATTTTTGTTTGATTCTGACGTGGTCTTTTCTTGTCTGTTTTGTGTGACTTTGTTTCTTCCCGTGGCTTTAGGAGTGTTTCGTTTACATGATATAGCACATATTGTACAAGGTGTGTACGATGTCTTTTTGCTTTTAAAGCTCCACCAAACTGAGGCAACCCAGCAATTCTTACTTGCAGCGTGGTACTGAGTTGAAGTTTTTATTTCAAGAAATATTTGCTTCTATGGGTAGGAAGAAATACTATCCTCCTACAGAACGTTTTACTTCTAAGAAAATAGTTTGTAGTACATCCTGGTTCAGCTGAAGATTTAAACATGTGTGAACGTTGGCATAGTCGTTTAAATGATAATCGCGTCATCAAATAATAAATCAAATACTTATCATTTAGAGCCATCTTAGTTGTCTCTAAATTAGAGGTGAGAAATAATAGAATTTGAACGCACTAAAACTAATGTGTGAAATACCGCATTTTTTGAAACTATACGAAGAGAAATTTTTCATCAATTGTTCCCTTGTCCTAGTTATTCAACTTAATTAGCCGACACTCTTGTATGTTAAAGTACCGTTCGCTCGCAGTTATTAATTTTGACTAATTGTCATAGTATTGTGACAATGAAACGTTCGGTTTAACCAGCCTCTCTGTCATGTGTTTTTTTATTGGTTGTGTGGCTGTGCTCGTGGCCAGTTAAGGGTTGAACTCCTTCAACTGGATGTGCGCCCCACCGAAAAAAATCGCCTTAGGTTGTTCACCTTTCCTTTTCACAGTCAATTAATAAATTTCTGCTTTCAAAGAACAAGTTAAGTCAGACATGCAAGTTTTGAGCATTGACTCGAACTTCTCTTACCTGAGTTCAACTACCTGTTGATTTCATAAATGATTGTGCTGTACAATTTATTGCCATGAATTATGAACCTTATTCAACGTCTCTGACAAGCTTACTTTTATAGAATAGTGTTGTTATTTTGCGTTTACATCGGGATTAAATCGCTGACTGTGTAGAAAATATCTTAAGAGCTCGAAGTGCTTGTTTAAGCTTTAGTGAAGGCGACCTTTTGCTGTCTTGAAATTGTTGTAGATGCAATTAAGACACTCATATTCACCGTCTCTATTTGAATCTATGCGCAATTATATCGTAGATGTCTCAGGCACGAGATACGCTGTTAGGAAACCCAAATTTTGACCATCAAATAGGAGAAAACTAGCAATAAATAGCAAAATTGTAAACGCTCATGGTACGAATTTTGTTGTTGGAGCGTCCATCATCAACTTAAACTGAATGAACAACCCACAATAATACTTTCTAGGAGCTAGAGACGTAGAACCTCGTAAAATACTACCACTTTACCTCAAAATATTTTGTTCTTACCTTCTGTTTTCCATGATAACCTCATTTACGCCCAAGGTCCTTTGAAATGAGTACCTGGGTAGCTTCACGAGGGTATAGATTTGCCAGTGCGACGTGACGTACAAATATGCGTGACTGGTCTCAGCCCATTTGAGAATAGCGAATTCCGTTAAAATTATGGCGCGATATCAAACTTGAGTTATATGACCACGATGGTGACATATCAGCCATTTTGAAGTAGAGGTAGGCGAGGACACGACTGACTTTCTATCCTTGTGATTTTATTTAAATTGTTGCAGTTCATTCAACTACGTGTCGTTTGGTGTTTGCTTCGTTAGGTGTCTTGCATTAGTTTAACCGAATTGTTTCGAGCAATTCAGTGACCGGTGACAGCCAATACTTGTGACACCCCAAGAAGGTAACACTGTATAGTTAAAACGTTCGTTCGATTATCACGTGGAGTTGATTTCCCAATATTTTTTTTAATGAAAGGAAGTTGTAATCATTTTACGTGTCAAGTCAAGCATTGTTGGTACAAAATAAACTGATTTAAACCTCATCATGCCCGGCTTTCATATTTGAAGTCTCCGCGTTTTCTGTTGTGTTGAGTTCTCGAAAACGTCGCTATTTGTCGCTGAGTTACCGGGTTGTGTCACCTTCATAGCCTAACTTTCACCGCTATTCTCAACCAGACAAAAGTCCATTTCTGAACCAGAGCAGTTTTTACGTGGTATAATATGTCATATTGGGTCTACATAATGTCCTTATTTTCGTTCCCATTTAGCGAGCGCAGAGATTCAACCTTGCATCTCCCAGCCAAAGTAATAAGTTTGGCTTTTTTCAGAGTATCTTTCGGCTCACGATTAGTTTGTTAAACGTTTTTGAATAAATGCCTCTCAGAAGTAGGTAATAACTAAGTCAAGTGTAGATTAAAAACAAAAGGAAAAGGGTGGGAGAAGGAGAGACTATCTCAGGGGAAGGGGCTACTTGGTTTATGAAGTGGCCATCCATTAATGCAAGTTTTGTCAATCTTAGTAGTCTTTGTTACTGTGAAGTATGGGACTGGAACCAAATTGTCTGCACTTGTACTTTTCAAGAGTTAGCTTCCTGTATATTGGAAATAGAAGAGGGAGGGGTGGGGAAGGCGAGTGGGTCTGCAATCTTTATTGCTTCCATATATGTCATAGGTTTACAGACGAAGGAATGGGTGAAAACTAAGGGAGGTTTTTTCCTTTGATTAATAGTAATTATTTTCTTTGTGTTACATTAATTTTCTCCACCTCATTCTCTGGAAGTATTACATCAAAAGACTTCATGATTTTTGTCATTCATTTTCGTTTTCCATTTCTTTCATTAAGTTTGTTAAAGTCTACTGATATTTGTAAGTATTAGACGGCTTTCTTTTTTTGATGCAATAGAAACATGCTTTTTTACTACAGAGTGTAGCACAGTTGGAAAGGAAATGAACTGTTCTAAGTTGATTGACTGAGTAACTTAGGAAAAAGGTTTTTTCTTAAATATCATGACTAATTACATAAACAGTGATCGCAAAAAAGATAACCTTTTAATTTAAAAAAGAAAAAAAATTGCAAAAATAAAAATTGATACAGGGTCAATGTCATTCTGTTGAGGGAAACATGTTAAATAATTAGAAAAGCTGTATATTAAAAGTGCCTCATTTAAGCTGAACCACATAACTTCTTTAAGTTTGAAAGAGTGAAACTTTACCAAGGCTGAGCATTTTAAAACTAGATGATCAAATTTAGTAGTCTAATCCATAGTTTGTGATTTTTCCATTCCTCAACAGTCACTTAAGTTACTTCACTTGTCAATGTTAATCTTAAATACTTTCGAGATAGCTTTGTCCCGTATGAATGTTATCTTTCGGATTTTATTCTATGTATTCATTCTGCATCTTACCTGACTTACTTGAGGATTGCAACTAATGCCCCTGAAAAGAAGAAAATAAGCAAAATAAGCTGTTAATGTATTAATGGGTGGATCTTCAGCTGTCTTGATGAATTTGATTCTGATGATTTCTGAGAAGTTGATTACAGAGAAGCTACTGGTCCTTAAGGCCTCTGGTCACGCATTGTTTACTGGAAGGATTAAATATGCCGAATCGTTAGAATGTTCTCTTTCCTGAATTGCATTTTATTTTGCTATGAATGCCAATGAACAAGTTGATTTCAGGGTGGAGTTTAGTTCAAATTTAGAATTAGATGAAAGTTTTGTCCCAACAATTGATATCTCCTACCCTATTGGACTGTGACGTCCGCTGTGATGACCTGTGTCCTCTCTGACTGGCCTTCCTCTTTCACTGGTAGAAGCATTCTATCAGGGAGAGAATACTCTAATTAGAAAACAGTGGCAAAAGTCTCGGGAAGATCACCTCTGTATATTGCTGTAACCTATCTTTTCCCCTTTCCAATGATAATTGTTCAAACTGGATCATCAATATTTACTTATGGTTAGTGTTGTAAGTAGCGGGTTGTGTAGGTCCTACATATTTTTTTTGAGAATCTCTCCTCCAAAAAGCTTACTTCTTTCCCAAAAAAGTACATTTCTATCCCATCCCTCCACCTCTTTTAATTAAGAGAACAAACAAGGGCTCTTCTTAGCCCTCTCTCAACTTAGTCTGTGCGTCTTGAATATTTGTTCTATCTCGCAACACCATCAAAATTGTTGCTTAACAGTTGGATTGTTACGACGAATGATCTGGTAATTCAAGTTTCTCAGCTTTTCTTCGATTCCAGTTATCACCCTTGTGAGACTTAATACGAGGGTAATGGATAGATGGTGCTCTTTATAATCAATTTATTTCTTTTATTACTAACGTTTACATCTGAGAACGTGTCTGAGCCATTTTGACTTGTCCTCAAATTACTTTGATCGTCGACAGGTTGATTGTCTATCGTTCCACTGCAAATAATTGAGAACATGTAATTCAATATGTTGCTGCCTGAACTGTTTTCCATGTTAAGAGAAATATCCTTAAACCATCAGGGGAAAGCTGATCACTAAATCGCTAAACTAGAACATCTCCCTGAAACAAATTCCGAGCGAGTAGTTTGCTGGGTAATGAAGATTACCTAGATCGGTGCTTAACATCATCCTCACCTCTTCGCTTCTCCTCCTTCTGACGCATTTATCTATAGAGATAGAAAAGTGGACTAAATCGTCAGTTTCATTAGTCTATGGAAGGTAAACTATTTGGATGAAGAAAACGAAAAAATAATTTAAATGAAGCTAACCTTTCCATCTTTCGCCTCCATGAGTCTGAAACGAAAATGATGCAATTATTTATGAGTACATAGTTTACCTGGCGAAGGAGAATGATAGAACTTTGTGTGTCCCTTTCCCAAGAAGTACATGTTTGATTCTCCCAATACGAAAAAACAGTTCCGTGTTTTAAAATGAAGATTTTACCTCTAACACCAACTCTGCACATAAAGAAGTCTTTATATTCGGCTTTAAGTAAGCAAGGCAAGCCTTTGTTGTCAACGTGTCACGCAATGCCTTTATAAGCTCTCAAACATGAATGACTCGGACATTTTGACGTCGATATTGTGGTAAAAAACAAATCGACAGTCGTTTAGCGTGGTTTGTGCTCTTATCGACGATATTCGTCAAAATTTCTTGCGGACTCACTCGGCTTCGCTTCATGAATCCACAACATTTTGAGCACTGTGATGCCGAATGTTGATGTCGATAAGAGTACGGACCACGCTTAACCACCGTCGACTTGATAATTCTACAAAGTTGATTACTCTTTGCACATGCTTTACCACGCTTTGTGAAATCGGTAACATGCTGAGCTGTCCATGAAACATTGAAATTGAGAATGGTTGAACACTGACCTGTCGAAGTTATAATCGTAGCACCCGGTGAACTCATTGTTTTGAATATGAAGCCTTATTTAAAAGTTATGTTGTCTAAGAAGAGTTCTTAGGGAAAATAGTGACTCATTCAGAGTTCGCGCAAAGAGGGATATCAGACTGATAAGTGTACACAAGGACATCAATCACAAAACTTTATAATGCGATGCATTGGTTACACCTTTAACAAGTTCTCCAACAGGACACTTTCCTATTACTAGGAATCTTCCAACACCGTTCGTCGGCATCAGCTCTTGCTCTTCCAACTGCACAGCACGCGCGTCAATTTCTAGATGCAGCGCTTAGTAGTCATAATCCACCACGTGACGTACTTCAAAATCCATTAACTATCCAAAGAACGATTGGCTGACGAGCTCAGTCTGACGCAAGATAGTAGTTGTCAAACGCATCTTCACGGGGCTACTGTTCGTCGCCTTTGTTTGTTTTGATTCCATTTTCAGCTATCTGTGAGAATTCTCTGATGGCGCTGTGGAAATAATTTTTTCTTTTAGCTTTGATATAAGTCTTTTTGCTGCGCAGCGAACGTAGCGAGCGAGCAGCAATATAATCAGGATTTAAGAAGAGTAAAGGAGATGCGAATTTTCGAATTCATCACTTTTTACCAGAATGCATTGCATTTAACCAGAGTGCACTGCGCGACGTTTGTTTTGTTTACTGTATTGCGTTACATAGCGTTACTACTGTAAGGGCATTTCCCATATGTACTCGATGGTGTTGTGAATCTACTTTCCCAAGTAAATGCAAATTAACTAATCGTTAATATTGGTAAATCTACTATCTTGATCGCTGAATGAGTGACAGTTCATTTAGAGCAATGAAAGGAGTCACATGATCAATGAATAACTCAACCTTGCTTAAGTTGACACGCTGGAAAGCCGCAAAGCAAAAGGCAGTCGACTGTTGGTGTTGATAAGCCTGTGTGACTCCTGCCATTCGCTAGCGCTTTTAAATCCTTTGCGATGCAATAGTAAGGATTAGTTTTAAGATGTCATTTCCCATCTGCATGTTTTTGAGGTTTGACAATGCCGGATGAGATTGTGTTACTGAAAAGGCAATATTTTTCTTCTGTGCAAGTGCTATTTTCTTTCTTTCTTTTTTTTTTTTAGAGTATAATTTCTCTCCCGTAGAAAATAACTTCAGAGATATGTTTCTCAAGGTATATATTGGAACGCGCAAGTAGATGAATCACAGTGTAAATTATGTCACCATCAACAGAATGCGCCGCGGCGTTACCATCTTTTAGATACCATAGTATTTTTTAGGACTAACACAGTTACCTTTTCTTCCCCTGGGGTATGCTGGATATTTGGGACTCAAGCTTTTAATATAGAGACGTGTTCCACTCTAGGCAAAGGTTATAGACGCTGTGTTTTGACGCGAAAATCGTAATGTTGCCTGAACTTTGTCGTAGAAGCCATAATAGAGGTCTAATACTTGTCGTTGAAACACACTGACGAACTTGCTGCATTGATGAAAAGAAACGCTGCATATGGCGAAACACAAATTTTGATATAAAAATGCAAAGGCGTTGAAACCAATATTCGCCATGTATAAAGCTTGATTTCTTTAAACGGTTGTAAAATACAAATGTATTCCTATGATTGGTAGCAGTTTGTCATCCAAGCTTGCTTGACTTCCATTTGTGACATTAAAATTTGCATTGTAAACAAGCATTTCCTTTAGAAGACACGGAGAGGCAGCCTCATACTTCATCAAATTTTGCCTATCCAGTCTACTGCTTTTACGACTTTTCTTTTCTCGGCATGGAATTTTTAATGTCCAAATTTCTATTTCTATTACGTCTGGCTGTCACGCAACAGTTTTTTACCAATTCACGAATTTTGAGTGTTGAAATACACACCGTTGTTTTTTTGCGTATGTATTGCCGCTGTCTCAAAATACTGCTGAAGAAAAACATGGCGGAAAAAATTTCTTCCAAAGAGGCTCTCAAAACGTGCCTTTCTAGCGATAAATTTAAGGCTTATTTGGCTGAGATATTGCCGAGTCTTCGCTTAGTTATATTATTTGTGATAGGAAAGGGAGTATGTGAATGGAACGCCTTAAGAAACACTTTAGATATGCTATACAACATATGTTGCTTCGTACAAGTTTCGACCGAGACCAGAAATCTTTGTTTGAAGGTGCCAGTTAAAACAGAGAGTTTCCAGGGGTTCACGCAGCTAAATTGTGATTTTGAAAAGAAGAGTAAGGCAGTTATAGGCAAGTTTTTTAAACTTCTTCAGTTTTGAGTTTTGCCGGACAAGGCAATTGTTAGAGATTTAACTTCAGTTTCCTCTAATTCTTATCTTAAATATTGGTATTTGATATTCTAACGATACTAAAATGTTAGGACTGCTAAGGGTTCAGTATCTTTAGTTTTCAGCTCGAGTGTTCATACATTTTCCTGTAAAATTCATCTTCTTTGTTATTTTCGAAGTGTATCATTCACTCATGGCTGCTTGAAACAATAAATAGTGGGATAATTTGGTACTTTACTTTTGCATTGGGGTTCAAAGGAAAATGGTATCCCATTTTGAGATGGTCACGAAGTAACTCGTACGAACTCGCATGAAATTATTGAAAGAAAATTGTGCTTCCATCGTTCACATATACCCGCGCCCCATACAGACTTTCACGTGAAAAGCTTGG